TACTTCTAGTGACTACTTCTACTGTTTATCATATATCCACTTGATCTTCAAACGTCTCAGCACATAGAAAATAGCATTAGAACAACAAAGCTTTCACACAAACTWGAGGTCTCACTTCATAAACTGTAGGTGTGTCTCTCTGCTGCATTTCTGGTTAAAACATGTTATTTTTTCATTCAGTTAAGTTATTATTGGGTATTCAGAAATTTTACTCAAGTAAGACTAGTGATACTTCATAATAACATTACTCAAATAGTACAGTGTCAAAAAACTACACAAAAGTACATTATTTCCAAAACGTTACTTAAGTAAATGTAACTGAGTGACTGATGTAAGATTCCTGAACTTGTTTTCTGTGTTTATGTGACARTGTAGACCTCTTGTGTTTCTACAGCTGATGCACTGAACCTGAGTGTACTCAAATATTGTAGAACTCCGCTGTGATACTTTGTCTATAATCTTTCTTCATGGTCATTAAGAAATGTTAAACAATGGATTTGTTTAATTTTTACATTGGTGACACTTGTGGAGGACCAAAACTGACTTAAAATTAAAAGGAAAAATATATTAATGGCCCAATAAATAAATAAACGCATGTGAAAAGAGGGGTCTTTCATGCTACAGCTACATAATTTGATAAAACTAAGCTAGAAAAATAAATAGGAAGGTCAATTAAATTATAAAACATGAGGTAAAGTCATCTTTTTTAAATAATTTGTGCATTTTAAGTGTATTTGTTTATTTATTGAGCTATTTATGTATATTTTTGCTTTTTGTTTTAATTATGTCAGTTTCAGTCCTCCAAAACACTCAAACTTCTTCTGAAAAAATTAAAAAARATAAACTTCCTTACTGTGCATTTTGTTTAGACAACCACTCTGATTGGCCTGTTGAAGACTGCAAGGCTTCTACGATTGGTGCGTGTTGCCAGGAAGCTGGACCGCTACTCTGAGTACGGCGCTGCAGTCCTGATGTTGCTCATGTGCATCTTTGCCCTCATTGCCCACTGGTTGGCTTGTATATGGTACGCTATTGGCAATGTGGAAAAGCCCTACCTACAGCACAAGATTGGCTGGCTGGACAATCTGGCTGTGTCCATAGGGAAAAGATATAACTACAGTGACCCTAGTTCTGGGCCCTCGATCAAGGACAAGTATGTGACAGCGCTTTACTTCACGTTCAGCAGTCTCACAAGTGTGGGCTTCGGGAATGTCTCCCCAAACACCAACTCTGAGAAAGTGTTTTCCATATGTGTCATGTTAATTGGCTGTAAGTATCTTTGTGTGTGTGTGTGTGTTTACAGAAGAAATTGCTTTTATTTATTTGTAGTATTTCTTACTCTGCATGTACTAGAAATTGATGGGCATTTTTTTTAATTTAGGAAGAGCAGTGTTCTTTTGCAGTGTTTTTTTAACAGCACACTTTGAAATATACAAAACTCATCCTTTCTGTTCGCTGTCTATTTTCCAGCTCTCATGTAYGCCAGTATATTTGGAAATGTCTCTGCCATCATCCAGAGGTTGTACTCGGGGACAGCTCGCTACCACGCTCAGATGTTACGGGTCAAGGAGTTCATCCGCTTTCACCAGATACCAAACCCACTGAGGCAAAGACTAGAAGAGTACTTCCAGCACTCGTGGACCTACACGAACGGCATCGATATGAACACGGTAAACTCAGAACATCTGCMTGTCCGCATAACTGACATAAATGACCAATAAAATAATTGATTACATTAACTTGGTGTGAAAATGTTGAATTATGCGAGACTGAAAGAACTWTTTTTATCCTGTTTGCCTTCCCTTTGGATTGCCATCTCTTCATTGGTAAGAACAGGAGGTACATSCCTTTTATTACTTCTCTTTCTGGTTATATACCTTTTTCTGTCAACTTTTTTTTTTCAAAATTAAAGCATCTGAACTTTTTTTTAAGTGTACACAAAGCAGCAGTTATGTTTTGTGTACACAATACAACCAGCCATTCTTTATTGTCAGTTTATATGTCAGGCATAAATAATATATATTAAAAAATAGCATTAGCTGTCATTTAAACTGCTCTTCTTTGAAAATTTGTTATATTTAAAAAAAATTCTGTTGCAAAGAATCCAGTTAACTATTGTAACCATTTTTATTTAGATTTTTTGTGRTTTATTGATTGAGAATATCACACACAGATGAAAGTCTCCTTTGTTACATCACACTGTGTTTTTGCAGTAGCCCAGATAAACAGCTGGCTCTRGAGTGAGCCTTTTGCATTTTTTACTTTTTAAGTGTCCAGAGTTGTTACTATTATATGCTTGAAGAGTTTGGATAAGGCTCAGGGCTGTTTAGTCAGTTTTAAATGWGCTAAATGTAGCTGAAACCTGCACACTAGGGCTTTTTATAAATAAAATATCATGATAGTAGTTGTCCAACACATTTGAAAACTTGAACTTTGCCAGCTCGTACTGCATTCATGCTCTCCACTTTAGGTCAGCTGATGTCAGTACAGTGCATTCTCGTCTTTTTAAAATTTATTTATTTATTTTTACAAACAGAATTAAAGTATTGGAGACCATACATCTTCCTATTTAGAATCTTATAAAATTCTTTCTTACTTGAAATTACTATTTGTTGTGCAAAAAGCATTTAAAGCCACCGCTGCTGCATCTGACAGTTTACCTAATTAAAATACAACAAGCAAACACTTTTATGTGGTGTTTTATTCAAGACTGGTCTAAACAACATAATTGTGTCTAAAAATTTTACATAAGTCATTCATCTTCCCCTGTGAAGTTTGCAAAGGAATAATGAATCTACTGTATATTTCAGTCAGTATATAAGTTATTTTCATCAAACCTAAATATATGTTACCTTACCAAAAGTACATTAACTTTATTTTTTAGCTGAACGCTACATCCCTTGGGTGGGATATATATTATCCAAAAACCTCCTATTTTAGTTATTCAACTCACTGATGTTCTCTGCATCACAGGTGTTAAAAGGATTTCCTGAGTGCCTGCAGGCAGATATTTGCCTCCACCTCAACAGAAATCTTTTACACAACTGCAAAGCATTCCAAGGAGCAACTAAAGGATGCTTGAGGGCCTTGGCCATGCGCTTCCAAACCACTCACGCACCTCCTGGAGACACACTGGTTCACAGTGGAGATGTTCTCACGGCGCTCTACTTCCTGTCCCGTGGTTCCATTGAGATACTGAAAGACGACATCGTGGTAGCTATCCTGGGTAAATACACTTCTTTACCGCTGTGTCCTGAGATACTTTCCCTAATTAATCTGTTGTTAATTATAGAAGTTATGTGGAGGCAGGTTAAAGGATGAGGATGTAGGTCCCTTTATGAAAGATGACATTGTTGCTGGCAGAGGAAACTGAGCTGTCATTTGACCTTTTGATAGAGTCTGTAATTATTTATGCATGTAGTGTCAGTCTCCGGTGCTCATTGAACCTCCATCTCCTTTAAGATAAGTGATCGACTGTAAAAGGTCAAAACCACCTCCTTTTATTGTATAAGAGCTCTCAGCTGACTTTGTGTTCAGTCAGCACCAGACACTCAATACACACTGTACTTTGAAAAGTAAAAGGTAGTTCTGAGTCAGATAATGCAGAGTTTCTTGTTTGCACGTATTATTTCATAATTGTGTCGCTAATGCATAAAAGTAAATCATATTTAGATAAAAGGAGGGTAAATATGAGTCTGCATTAATGCAGATATGTTACATTTGATTCTCAATTAGCAGTATTGTTATTTTTATTCCATAAATCCTGTTTGTTGCTTCTTTTGTAGTTTCCTGGCTCTTTCAGCCTCAAACAGCCCAGATGAGAAAAAATCAAAACAGAATAATGTGTCTTTCCTAATGACGCTGACCTATGCAAAGCTTGTTGCATTGTTTTATGAGTGTGAAATTAGTCTGCTAAGCTAACGATTACCTAAATCCATGTGTTGAGAGCTGCATGTTGGGGAGAAATTCATCACTCTGTGTGAGGCTTTGCTCTGTGGTAGAGAGGTGTCCTGTGCATGCTGTGAAAAGAACACTAGCAGCCAACATATCGTATCTCTTTTTCCTGAACCCCTGCTCACACAGTTGGCATTTAGTGAACCCCACACACCAACAAAGGATTTTTTTTATGATGGCCTTTATATGAGAGTCCTTACTCAAGTAAAGGAAAATATTTTTATTCTTTTGAGGGAAAACTAAGCTTATGGTGCAGGAGATATCACGGCATTAAGGAAGTGTGCGATAGAACTCATTATGTAATAGGTTTTATCAACCCAAATATTTTCCTTTGAAGTGCGCAACGTGTAGAGAGTGTCAATTACGATCAGCCCTCCACCCCCCCCTCACATCAAAGTTGCTTTGTGTTACTGGTTATTCCTCAGGATAAATAATAGATCAAAGATGGAGAGACAGCTGATGCCCAGGCCTTGGGAGAAAAATACTCTGCGAAAGAAAAGGCACAAAAACAAACACCTCTGCTGCTCTTGACTATAATAATAAGATGAATAGAATAAATGTCAACATAAATGTCTTTGGTTGAAGCACAAAGGTTATGCAGGTAAAGTCAGTATTTTCAGTGTTACTAACTAACCAATTAATTGTATTTTCTGTGTGTTTATCACTACCAGGAAAAAATGACATTTTTGGAGAAATGATCCATCTGTTTGCCAAGCCTGGGAAGTCCAACGCAGATGTGCGAGCGCTGAGTTACTGCGACCTAAGCACCATTCAGAGGGAAGATCTGCTGGAGGTGCTTGATATGTACCCCGAGTTTTCAGATTTCTTCTTCAACAACCTGGAGCTTACCTTCAACCTCAGAGATGAATCTGCCAAGGTGGAATATATAATATATATTGATTTAGTTTCAAAACTCAGGTTTCTGCTGTTTTTGTTTTCTTTTTATTTTAACTTAGTTTAATTCTTGCAGCCCACTAATGTCCCAGAAGATTGTGACCCAGATGGTAAGAGCAACAGAAACATGAAAAGACGAATCTCCTTCACCCCTGATTTACCTGAAGGTTAGTAGAGATGTATCTGCTGAACAGACAAGGATTTTTTTGCAGTAACATATGTGTTCTTTGTTACTGTTTGCTCACTGAGAAAATGTATTCTCTATGGAACGCAGTCTGGTGTTATTCACTCCTGTTGATTGCCATCCTCTAGAGGAAACCAAGGAGGTGGTTAAAGACACTCAAAAGGAAAAAGGGTCCAACTCGTGCCTAAAGAGATGTTCTGTTGCCCTGGGTTCCTCCTCACTCAGCGTTCCAGTCCTAGACACAGATCTCATCGTCAGAGACGGCCTGGGCAGAAGAACATCTGCTGGAGGTAGAAAAATAAAGAAATAGAGTCCTGTTTTACACTTTCTGACATTAGGTAGTTGCTTCTTTACCTGAATTATTTTGTTTGACACCCAGACATCAGAGCAGCATTCAAAAGGATCAACATTTTATGTCAGCGGTTTCTATTCAAGCTCTGCACACACAGAAATGACACTACAGCAGCTGACAGCAAAATGCAGCAGAGACTCCACGTAATTTTACAGAACAGGAATTAAGTGATTACATAAACATGTTTTTATGGCACATATGGGAAGGATGTCAGCTCAGACTTTCTGCAAAAGTTGTCAGAACTAAAAAGTTAAGGGACCAAAGTGCAGGACACTCCATGTAGGAAGATAGAAATCCATACATTTTATTAAAACAAAAGACACTGTCAAAAGCAAAGGCTTAACAAAGCATGGAGGAGCCCAAACACACACACACACACACACACACACACACACACACACACACACACACACACAC